TATCGATTTATGGGCGGAAAAATGGCCTCTGGGCAAAAGGGGGTAGTCAGCTAAATTGAAAGCTAGCAATGTTAGTGACTAACTCTGGTTTTGAAAACTGCTAATTTTGGCAAATAAATGGATTTAGCGGGCAATTTTTAGCAGGGAATTCTGTGCGCCAGTATTGGCAATACCTCTTGAGAACTCATGTTATGTAAAAAAACAGCTTGCAGGTGAAACAAATTGCTACAGAACAAAAAAGTAAGCTAGGCAATAGATACTAACCAGAAACAACGATGATGGGATATTAAATTGGTACTGCTTCTGATTCGGTACTAGATGTCTTTCTTTTTTTTCCAGATTTTGTTGTTATTGGATGAATGATGGCGGTAGAAGAATAGGTCGCTGAGAACCATATTCGTTTTCATCTTCAGTCTCGCTCAATAAATCATACACGTCAGTCATTGTTTTTTTTGTATGGTAAATGACTCGGATGATGGACTTGATCTTCTTCAGAAAATCGGATGCAGTGGATGGATAATGATGAAACCGAGCTGGACGATTGATCCTTGAGACACAACCACGAGGACAATCCATAACGATAGGAAGCATATTTAAACCTAGCAGTCAGTCGAATTAGTGGACTGGATGGACGAAGAATAATTGTAGTGTATTGCAAATTAGTAAATTAACTCACCAGAAATGATGATACCACATGTCTTTATATTTTATGAGTTGCGGACGGACACTCCTGAACAAGATCATACAGCATATCTTTCAAGTTCTTTGGCAGCTTCATGCCTGCTTGATATAGTGTTTTTGTGCTGTTGACATCGGATATTTTTCCTGCTTCCACAGTGCCGAATTCCAAATATTCCGTGGTGAAAAGAATGTCGGTTTTTGTACCGATTTTTCTTCTAGATAATGCAGCAAGGAGCGATCGAGATTAACTCGGGTGAAGAGGCTTTAGAGACATATTCTCCACTAATCAGAATATAAACAGACAAGTTAATTTATCATGATAATCCATAACGCAATGTTTACCACCAGATACATACGAAATAACATCAAGGTCTCCATTGTCGAAACAACAGTCAATTATTGACCATGCTCTCTTCATATAATCAGCTTCGGTCTTACATTTTTTGTGCAGGCCATGCATCAAGATCTCCAACACATTCCTCACTGATGAATGAACCCAGTAAAGGTCTGCATCACGAATTGGGTGGAGGCTATGTTTCGTATGTTCGTTCCAGAGTTCATCCAATTTTTTCTATTGTTGCAAAAAAAAATGTTATACATGTCTTAAAGCAAAGAAAAAACAAGAAACAAGAAACCTACCAAGCCGTTGTAGCAATCCAAATATGTTTGCATGCTTTTAGATAATTCTGAGAGTGTTACTTTTTTTTCATCCTCTATTTCTTTCAATTCACTCTTAGTGAAATACTCGAGCCAGACTGGATCAGAAGTGTCTAAAATCATTGAATGACTAGGGCTAGAAAAGAACAAAAAATTAAGTACGAGAGAAGAAGAGGAAGGGTAAAACAATCAAGAACAAATACTTACTGTTCGTTGGACAGTTTCATGGCAAGCTCCTTAACTTTATCTTCCACCACCGTCCCAGTACTAAGTGTCCAAAAGGTGTTGCGATTGAGACTTTGGTACATCGCGTCAAACTTCTTATAGTCGCCTTCTTTTAGTTTCGGGGTGGTATTATTGGTGGTGGTGGTATTTTTTGTCGATGATGCTTCTGAAGGGGTTGCCGATTGGTTTTTGGATAAATGTTCGAAAAATGCTGTGGTCAGCACACCCCAGTCAACCTGGGATTTAGCCTAACAATTTGCCAAATATATAAAAAATGAATAACGGTGAACTTTTGAAACATGTATTAAACTGCTCTTTTTTGTGTCATATATATTTAAGTACCCACCACAGTCAAGTTATGTTTGCGGACAATCTTTGCAAAACGCGCAGACCACAAGTCTTTATAATTTTCACCGAGATCCATTATTGACGCGATGAACCGACGTTTGCTCTTGATGAACTCGTCCAACTTCAAAGGGTGATTTGCTTGGTCAAGAACATATTGCTCTATAACTTTTTGTAACACGGATTATAACATTTTAGTGGCCATTGCCGTGTTCTTATTCAGATCCATCGTTATTGTTACTCTTTACCTTCGTCAATGGTATCTATGGCAACAAAAGACCTAATGTTTTAAAACAACTTTACACCTGCTCCCAGTTTCCCAGTAACAATTTGGGCAAGAAGCGGCAAATGGTAATTTTAAAAGAGCGATGATATTTAAATTTTATATATATAAAATGGGTACTTCCATTTTCGGCGATTGCAGGAAAAGCAGTCGCTCTGGTAGGAAAACCGGTCTCTTTTTTCTGAGTGCGTTCCTTGACTACTTACACTCACTAGTCATACAAACTCACTGACACCAATTTTTACGTACATCAAACTTTATGTACCATGTCCTACAACATGAAATCTGAATTTACAAAATGGATCGACGGCGATGAGATTGAGCAGGTCACGTTAATTCGTAAAACGGACCAAACTTATGCGCGACCCACTGACATCGGCTGGTAGCTACATCAGCAAAATCAAAAGAAAACTGAAAGCGGTGTTAGCATCATGAAGGTTTGTCTCGGTGCCGTGCAATGTGTAAAAGACGATTGTGTACGAAAGAACCTTCCGGTCAGGCCAGCCAGCACCAAAGCACTTATCAAGCTGCAGAAGTGTGTCAAGTGCGATACGGAGTTGCGACATATTCCCTGTAAGGTTCGTGTCCACTTCAAGTTCGTTGGCAGTGTGGGCAGTGTCGAACATTGTGGTGTACATTCGCACAGTCGATATGAAGCCGTTCATATCAGCAAGAGCTCCGTCGCCAAACTTGCCGAGAGAGTTTTGCGATCCCCGCAGGAAAGACCCATGGCTCTTGTTATAGGCACCAGCTCTCAAAGACCAATGAACCCACCACAACCTCTGCGCGAGATCGACAGCGACTTACAGCATGCTGGTAAAGTTGCGTATCACCGCCGCAACATCCTTGCAGCGAATGGCTTCAACGCTAAAGGTATACCCAGCATCGAAACAGTAACTGCTTCAGTAATGAAGCTCAATGTCGAGTATCCCGGTTATCTTCGTTCACCACTCGACCTCCATCCTGACAGTTTTTGCATTCCTTTCGCTTCGCCGTACATTCTGGACGATGTTGACTACAGCCGCCAACCAATTCTAATGGATGTCACTTACTCCTGCTTTGGCGACGGCTATTACCTCTGCAACTCTGTCATATATCAAGAAAAACTGGAAAAGTATGTTCCAGTTTTCTAAGCGGTTCTTGGTGGTTTAACCACTAAAAACTTCGTTTCGTTCTTCACGACAATGTTCAAAGTTTTGAATGTAAAGAAAAACGACGACGGTGAACCATCTATGTGCGGGATAATGATGGACTTTTCCCAACCACAAAGAACCGGCTTTTTTTATTGCGTTCAGCAACATTTTTCCCGGTGCCAAAAGTAGGGAGACTTACTTAAAGGGTTGCTATTTTCACTGGAAACAGTCAGTTGAACATATACAAAAAATGGGTGATGTTGTACCAGTGGATCGCCGAAGGATATTCTTGGAATACACCAGGGTCATGTATGAGACGACGGTGGAACAGATGTTTGATGTTGTAACCGCTCAAATGGAGAAAGAATTCCCGCATACTTCAAAATGGCTAAACTGGTGGCTTCGACCTGGCGTTGCTAGTATGATCTTTCGCTCGAAAACGACGATGCATGAAGAGCTTTTACTCAATGCCACAAGAACAACGAACGGCGTAGAATCATTCCATCGTAATATCTACCGTTTCGTTCAGCAATCCAAGCCGATTCTTTCAACGTTACCTGAACTTTTCAACTATATGCGAAATGAAGAGAGTAACTTGGAACATGTTCTTGCTGGCAAAAATATACGTTATAAGATATCTGCGCCTTCGTAAGTTTCTTCTTAGCGTAGTGAGGGTGTGTATTGCATCGAAACTAGTTAGCATCTGGCTTATTCTACGCTTTATATATGCAGTCCTTTCAAAGCGCCTAAAAAGAAAAACATAAGCGCCAGTCGTCCTCCAGAGAAACTTAAGCAATTATTGTCAAGAAGTTCTACCACTAATACCAGAAAGCGCTATACAGAAAATAATTCAGATCAAAATGAGCCAACCAAAAGAGCAAGAAAAACAACTAATGATACTTCACTTGGTAAAACAATAAGCTTGTTGTTTGTAAGAGTTTGAGAATACAGTAATTGAAACCTAATTAAAACATATATATAGACTCTTTGGCTGTACCTGAATATCGAGAGGATACTGAAAAAAATGATTATAGTAGTCAAAAAGAAGCAGCTGAAGATTGTGACAGAAAAAGAAAAGAAGCGGCCAATGCTCGAGAAGAACGCGCGAAAAAGCTATCTGATATCCGAGAGTTGTTCAAACAGCAAAAGAAGCAAGAATATAGAGCGAAGAAACATGCAACGAAAAATATGACGTACGTAAATTGAGAGAGAAATTATTCAAAGCCTAATGTAAATCTTATGTATACCTGATACCTTTAGTGAACTTTCTTCGCATTTGAGCTCGCTAAACAAGTATCCAATCGCTATTGTTCCCAATGCTGATAATGCTTGCTTCATCGACTGCTTTTTACAAATAATGTTAAGGGTGATTCTGCCTTACATCCCTGAACCTCCGAAAATCGATAATGATGAAAGAGCACATTTACTATCAGACCTTTGGAGTGCGTCCAGACAGCAGGACTTTACAGGTCCTGTCTTGTCCTTCCGCCAATTTATCTGGGACCACGGTGCAAAGTTAAATATCGGTGCAAAGGGGTATTCGGAGACCCATCAGACGTGCTCCAATGTATACTTAAGAATAATGATATTTTACGTGCCTATCTACAATTCAAGACAAGACCACAGGCCACCAAAATATCTACTCCTAAGGACAATAGCGCCAAAACATGAATGGCTGAGGCCTATGTTCAAGGAGACAAGATTCGAAACCGGTCATCCATCTTCCACTTGACGGATAAGGATTTCGATGAGGAGGACCTTGAAGATCCCACCGAAAGCAGCTTTGACAAATTACTGCAACAAAAGATTATACAAGCTCGTGTTGAAACCAGCAGCAGAAATCTTTATATGCAAAACATTGTCAGCTATACCAGCTTCATCATCGTTCACAATCGAATACTAGGAAAAGATCACGAGTGGCGTGAAAAATACGCGTCCAACGAATCCAGCATGGTCTATTATCCAGAGCATATAAGCATAATGAAAGCAGAGTATCACCTATGTGGCAGAATCTACTGTACACGACCTACTGGTTTTCACTATATAGCAACATGCAGAGCGCCTGACAACAACATTTACGAGTTCAATAATACGAAGCGTGTCGCTAAAAAACTCAAGAAAATCCATGGCAAGGTAGCATACACGCACTCCGTCATATATCGTAAACTCGCACAGGACAATAATCATCTTGACAAACCGTTTATTACGGAAGAAGAAGAAAAAGAATTTGAGCGGTAATGAGCTATATAAATCTCCATACAAGGATAAAGCGTCAAGCTGATGCTAACCCGCTATTATATTTCTGTTAGCCTATTACAAGATCCAGTAGTATTATACCTATTGCAAAAGACAGGAAAATAAGCATATTCTACTTCTCTTTATCATATAAATAATATCCCAAGTATAAATCTCCCTTTTTTTTTTGCTTCTTCCCCTTTCTGCTAAATCTATGTACCTTTTTTTCTTTTCCTTAAAATATAGTTTGCTCTTCCTTGCCCTCCATTGAAACTTAATAATATACAAAGAGTGCTACGACGTTCTTAAAATCAAAAGAAAAAAATGTACTTGTGTGATTATTATGCAAGTGGATAGGGTATGCTTATAGTGCGTAGAGTGGTAATAGTTGGCATAAAAAATAAATCTTAAAAGTGACAACAACAACATGTATGGTCCTCTTAGCGCTCAAGGTATGTAAGAGCATCCCCAGCGGTTTCGGTAATCCAGCTGCAAAATCAAGATCCGAAATAAAAATAAATTTACCGCCAGAGTGGCTTCTTTGATGGTTTCGGTATTTTGAAATCGGTATTTTCGGTATTACTGCCTTTCTTCTGTTCCTATCTTTTATGTCTACCGCATCCGAACTTTTTGATCTTCTCCTCGAAGAGGAAGAAGAGAGTGCTATTATTGGAACCCGCAGACGAAAACGCCTTTTTCAAATGCTTGCCAGAAAGCATAGAGAAACACCAACCCATAAAAACGGGTCTGTTCCTGGGCACAAAACAAAGGAACGCGACCGTGTAGCTGGCGCAGATCGTCTATACAAGGACTACTTTGCTGAAGATTCCGTATATGACGATAAAGACTTTTGCCGCGTCTACCGTATGGAACGTGATCTTTTTTTACGTATAGTAGAAGGCGTAAAACAGCATGACAATTATTTTGAACAAAAGTATGATGCTGCGTTAAAACCGGGCCATTCGACGTTGCAAAAAGTATCTGCTGCGATGAGACAACTTGCTTACGGAGGCAGTGCCAAGGTAGTCGACGAATATCTTCGGATGGGTGAAAGCACTGCTTTAGAGTGTTTAAAGCGTTTTTGCTCGGCAGTAATCAAGGCTTTTGGTGACGAATATCTTCGTGCGCCCAATGCAGAAGATACCAAGAGGCTGTTGGCTTTTGCTGAAAAGCGCAACTTTCCGGGCATGCTTGGGTCTCTTGATTGCATGCATGTCGAATGGAAGAATTGTCCTACTGCTTGGAGGGGCCAGTACCAAGGAAAAGAAAAAAAGGCCACAATTATTCTTGAGGCAGTGGCATCCTGTGACTTATGGATCTGGCACGCATTCTTTGGGCTCCCTGGTTCCCTCAAGGATATCAATGTGCTACATCGTTCACATTTGTTTGCTGATCTTGCCGCTGGTCGTACACCACCCGTCGAGTTTA